TTTCAGAATTAGCTTTTTGCTTTCTTGTTAAATAAATTATTTTTATTTTAAGGAGAGACGATATAATTTTCAACAGAATTCTAATTTATACCTGTTTTGGATATCAAGTGTTGCAATAAAAATTTTATCAAATTTTTTAGTAGCTAATAGTAATAGTTTTTAGTAAAGAAGTAATTATTATTTTCTGCTTGAAAATTTTGAAATTTTCATAATAAATTACTGGCACTCTATGGCCAAGCATTGTTGAATGCATTCTCTTTCAAATAGTTCACAATTGGCACCTAATTTTTTCGTTCCATAATAAAACAATAATTACCATTTGAAAAAATGTATTTCCTATCATAATAAAAAAAACAACATTCTCAAAATGAAATGGAAAAACTTTTTGATACAATTTAATCAATAACTCATTAATTTTCAAAATGACTAACCCCATTCCTTATGCAATTACGAGCCCGTCTTCGTATTTCTGTCCTGGTTACTCGATTTGAAAAGTTCTGTCGCAATATCGCAACAGGAGTTAAATCAGGGCTCCTAACAGGCCATGGTATGGGTCCACCTCTTCCAATCCATCTATTCGGAATCCTTTGGTCTAAGAGTGCCCTTATTGTTAGACGATAGTGTGCAGGACATCCGTCAAGCTGGAAGATCATCTGTTTGCCTGTTCGCTAAAGGGACATCTTGTAGTAGCTCATACAAGTTGTTACGTGAAAATTCTTCATAATTTTCACCGTTAAGGTTATCAGGTAAAAAATCAAAATTTGTTATTCCTTCTCTAATATTGTAGCATCCTCAACATCCGAATTCAGAATAAATCTGCAGAACTGAATTCTGCGAATTAATGGTTTCTTTATGCTGAAAAATTTCGAAAACTTCATAAAGTGTGTTTTTTTTTAAAAGATAATTCCCCAAGTCAAAAATTTAGTAACTATGTTGGCAACACAAGCCTTTTCTACATGAAAAATTTGAAAGCATTGACAATTTTACATTGTATTGCCAACATAATGTCAGTTTGACTTTTATCTTTAAAAAAAAAAACGCACTTTAGTCCACCAAACGTACAAATGATTGTTAAAGATTCTCTATTTTATTGTCTTTAAAATAAGGTTGTTTTATTGTTGATTTCATAATTTTCATTTGTAGGAGTAACGGTTTTATTCTCGCATTTAGAAGAATTGTAAGTTCAGACTAAGTAAGCAACATTATTTTCCAGTCTTTTCTTATTGCAATTTGGTGTGATACTCGCCAATCATGTTGATATTTATCAACAGGTATACCATACGCATTTTTCCATTTTTTGAATTAATAATAATAAACAATAACAAAATTTAGTTTCAGTTTTTCGTCCAAAGTTTTGATTTAAATAGTTCTGATGATAGTCTTTCGCTGTTAACTTCTATCTAAAATGGCAACGTTTAGCTATGCTGAATATGCGGACATTTTATTTATTTATGGTTTTTCCAATGGAAATGCAGCTGAAGCTCAAAGAGAATATGTACGTCGCTTCCCAAATAGGCGCATTCCACATGTTAGTGTGTTTGGTGCAACTTACCGTCGCATTTCAGAATCTGGCAGCCTTCAACGAGTAGAACGCGTAGGAGCTCCTCCTGCAGACGTTAACATTGATGGTGAAATTTTGAGACTACTTGAAGAAGGTCCAACAACAAGCACCAGAAAAATTTCCCGACAGCTGGGTGTTTCACAATGGAAGGTCTGGTCAGTGATTCATCAAAATGGTCTTCACCCATTTCATCACACTCCTGTGCAAGGACTAGACGAGGGTGATCCGGCGCGCAGAGTTCAATTCTGCAGATTTATTCTCCATGCGGATATTGAGGATGCTTCATTTTTAACAAGAATTTTATGGACCGATGAATCAAAATTTAGCAGAGAAGGAATAACAAATTTTCATAATTTGCACTACTGGGCCGAAGATAATCCGCATCAGAAGAAGCAAGTTAGTTTCCAAAGAAAATTTAGTGTCAATGTATGGATGGGAGTTATCGCCAATAATTTAATTGGACCTCATTTTTTACCGGATAACCTTAACGGTGAAAATTATGAAGAATTTTTACGTAACAACTTGTATGAGCTACTAGAAAATGTCCCTCTAGCGAACAGGCAAGAGATGATCTTCCAGCATGACGGATGTCCTGCACATTATCGTCTTACAATACGGGAACTCTTAGAGCAAAGGTTTCCGAATAGATGGATTGGAAGGGGTGGACCCATTCCATGGCCTGCTAGGAGCCCTGATTTAACTCCATTAGATTTTTATGTATGGGGGCACCTGAAAGAAATCGTATATGCCACGGAGGTAAATACGCGCGAAGAACTGATTGAAAGGATACAGAATGGGGTTGCGATATTGCGACAGAACTTTTCAAATCGAGTAACCAGGACAGAAGTAAGAAGACGGGCTCGTGATTGCATAAGGAATGGGGGTAGTCATTTTGAAAATTAATTACATCACTTGTTGGAAAAGTTTTTTCATTTAATTTTGAGAATGTTGTTTTTTTTTTTATTAGGAGAATGTTGTTTTTTTTTTATTATAAGGTAGGAAATACATTTTTTCAAATGGTAAATATTGTTTTTTTTTCAAAGATAAAAGTCACACTTACATTATGTTGGCGATACAATGTAAAATTGTCAATGCTTTCAAATTTTTTATCTAGAAAGAGCTTGTGTTGCCAACATTGGTAGTGAATTTTTGACTTGGGAATTATCTTCAAAAAAGAAACAGACTTTATTTGGAAGAGAGTGCATTCAAGAATGCTTGGCAATAAAGTGCCAGTAATTTATTATGCAAATTTCAAAATTTTCAAGCAGAAAATAGTAATTACTTCTTCTTTACTAATAACTATTACTATTAGCTAGTAAAAAAATTGATAAAATTTTTATTGCAACACTTGATATCCAAAACAGGTATAAATTAGAATTCTGTTGAAAATTATATCGTCTCTCCTTAAAATAAAAATAATTTATTTAACAATAAAGCAAAAAGCTAATTCTGAAATAATGTACCTTATCTTGGAGACAATAAAATGGAGTACTTTTGCCAATTATTTGTACGTTTGAAGTACTATGAAATTTTCGATATTTTTAGGGTTAAATAAGTCATTAGTTAGAAACTTAACAAGAAAAGTTAAGTTTAAACCGCAATAACTCAATAGTTAACATTAGTGTTTCGATAATTTTCAATGCTGATATTTTTGTCAGTGTGTCAGCTTAAAATTTAAAACACGACTTTCAGAAAGGTCCTTGTTATTTTCGTTAATTTTAAATATTTGCCTCATAAGGTAGTGAATTTTATAAAAATTAGAAAAATGAAAATATCGCGAAAACCGTTAAGAATGGTATAGAGGTAAATAGTGTTTAATCGGTAGCAAATAGGCTCTAATGTCATCTCCTCAAAGGAATACGTCCACTTACCAGTCACCCTGTATAGTCTAGGAAAATAGTCGAAAAATACATGTATTGCAAAAAAAAAAATCCTACCCAAATGAACTTTTCAGGGATAATAGGGGGCGGGTGGGTGATCATAAAACCGAAAATATCAAACATTCACCCCTCTGGCGTTTTCCGCTATAGGGGTTGAAAGTGCGCCATTGGCGATTACTTGGTACCTATTGATTTTACAAAAAAATGTTTCAAATAAAAGATGTGCAACATTATTTGATCTACAATGTTTATCTAAAGATTTTTTTGATTAAGGGCTGTCTGTGGTCATAAGGGCCGTTTGAAATTTTATAATGGAAATGAAAAATTTTAACCAACGTGAAAAATTTTTCTACAACACAGACAACATTTTTGCTTTATGAAGTTATTACTCACCCCCTGCCGTTTTTCAATAGGGGTAGTTTAGAGTTTTTTTATTTTTTTACAAAATAATTTTCTTAAGAGTTGTGTTGCATGTATGTATATAATAATTGTAGGAAATGTCATCTTATAAAACTTTTATTAAGAAAATTTTTTTGTGAAAAAATAAAAAAACTTTAAACTACCCCTATTGAAAAACGGCAGGGGGTGAGTAAAAACTTCATAAAGCAAAAATGTTGTATGAGTTGTAGAATTTTTTTTCACGTTGGTTAAAATTTTTCATTTCCATTATGAAATTTCAAACGGCCCTTATGACCACAGACGGCCCTTAATCAAAAAAGTCTTTAGATAAACATTGTAGATCAAATAATGTTGCACATCTTTTATTTGAAACATTTTTTTGTAAAATCAATAGGTACCAAGTAATCGCCAATGGCGCACTTTCAACCCCTATAGCGCAAAACGCCAGAGGGGTGAATGTTTGATATTTTCGGTTTTATGGTCACCCACCCTCCCCCTATCATCCCTGAAAAGTTCTTTTGGGTAGGATTTTTTTTTTTTGAAAATCGACAATTCCTAGACTAATATGACTTGAAAGAAGTTTTGTTTGTTTATTGTTTATCACAATTGCAGATTTCAATTAGCCATCAGTGGGTTGTATTTTTATTGAGTCTTTGTTTTTTCAAGCCCATAGCTTGGCAACTGTGAACCGTCAATAAAACCGTATAAAACACACTACCTATGAGATTTATTAAGCTATTTAACCTAAATACCATAAAACGCGCCTTAACCACGAAGTCATTAATAATATCCACAGCGACATAAAACTAACTCGTGAATAGCTATTTACATATTGCTTGATTATTCGGCTTTTGTTTTACCATTTATTTTTGCAATAATTCCTTGGATAAATAAAAGTTTTAAAATTTATTTGAAAATTGTTCATAAAAATTAAATTATTTATGGCAAAACGAAAATTTCTATTTCGTAATACATATTTAAATGTGTTATTTTAGGTAGATAATCAATTTTGTCGTTTCTATATAGGTATCTTATTATTTACTGAAATATTATTTCGAGTCATTTTTACTCATTAAATTTCTGATAACATTATCTTCAATTACTGGCAAACAAAATATTTGAAGCCTGCAACTGATTTTTAATAGTTTTTTTATACTTACTTGAGGTGCTCTGTTCGCAAAATCTTTCTCTGACAAGGCCAACAGATCAGTTCCAGAAATATTCCAACTTTCATCCATCGGTTCTTGGCAGTTGTATTGTCGTGATGTCCAGCGAACCCAAGATAAGACATCTGCAGGAGACCATTTCGATGGATCTGAAAATAAATATTATATGCTAATGATTTTCCAACATACACGCCCATCATAAAATTTCTTGGTATATCATTATGTAATAAATAACTGTATCTATGTTTTGTCCTCGTGCAACAAAAGTGGTTTATTTATAGTGCAGCTCCACCCACTGGTTATTTCGAACCAATAAATCATTTTAATACAAGAAATAAAAATGGTTTATTTGCGTATGGAAATGTGGTGAAAAAATAAGAGGATCTAGAATCCGTAGAGTCTTTTGTGCTGTACTGAAACAGTTTTTGAACCTGGTCTGCTTCAGTAACTGCCACGAACTAGTAAATGTCGAATTTCTGGCTAAGAAGGTTCGTTATGATCTTTATTAGCAGGTCGTAGGAGGTAGCAGACTATCTCTTTCTTCTTCTTCTTCTTAGCCGTATTCTCTATCCTCTGGATATAGGCCTCTCTCAGATTTTGCCAGGTATTTCTAATTAATTCAATCGATAATTTTATCAAGTGTTTTGATTTATGTTAAGTACCATATCGTGATAGATGAATTCTAAAAAGAATGAATGATTAGGCGTTCATAGAGCCGGTTGAGAAACCATAATGGTCAAAAGTACAATGTTATACTAATTTAGCATTATACTTTTTTTCAGTTAATATGGGTGATGGTCCTTCAACAAGTAAGAAAAAATCATTGCAGAGACCATTGACGTAAGCAGAATTGCTCTCTTGTCTTCTTGATGATGATACTTTGGTAATTTTGAGTCTGTTAGATGAAGAAGACCAGAATGATGGACAATTTGCTGATCTTGCTGATTTCGATATAACTGGAGTGTTGAAGGAAATCAGTGGTACAGAAGACCAAGATAATGTATGATAGGAAAAATAGGAAAAAATGAAAAAGAAAGAAGGGAAGAAGAAAGAGTGGAAGAAGAAAGAGAGGAAGGAGAAAGAGTGGAAGAGTGGAAGTAGGGGATGTTGAAAATGGGCAGGAAAATCAAAAGAGAAAAAGAAAGGAGTTTTTAATATTGCTCGATTCCCGCCTTCAACAAAAAAGAGATGAGGGTTTTTTTTGGAATCCATATATTGATGGGAAATTTAGAATTTCCAAGGGCAAGAATATATTGGAGTGCATCTCTTGGTGTCGCAATTATAAAGGAAAACATGAACAGATTCGAGAAATACGATCCATCGGGTAGATGTGACGGCGAGAGGAAACAATGAAGATCGTCTATGGAAAGTGAGAGACATATACACGTCCATAAGAAATAGGTGCAGAGAGCTTTCTCTAAAAACTAACTTATGCGTGGATGAACAAATCGTTTCCTTCAAAGGACAGATAAATATAAAGCAATACCTACCAAATAAGCCAAAGAAATGGGGTATAAAGTTATGGATACTGGCTAGTTAAAGTGGCCAGATTTATGATTTCATTATATATGAGGAAGCGGAGCAGGCACTGAAATAAGGGATGAATATGCTCAATTTGGACAAGGAGCTGGTACGGTGATGCAGCTAGCTGATAGAATAGACGGAACCACGAGCTTTATTTTGACAATTATTTTAGGTCCTACCACCTTTTTCAATACCTGACGCAAAAATCAATCTTGGCCATCATCAGAGTGAATCGCTTTTTTCATCCTAAACTGCTTAGTGACAAAGACCTCAAAAAGCAGGGAAGAGGCAGTTTCAATGTTAGAGTAAGTGATGATGGTATTGTGATAACAAAGTGGTTCGACAACAAACCATTCCTTCTTGCATCGAATTTTGTTGGAATTGGAAACTCTGGCTCTTGTAACAAATGGGACAAGTCATCAAAGTCCTACATCGAAGTACGTCGATCGGAATCTGCAGCCCTTTAAAACTCCAATATGGGCGGCGTGGACAAATTGGACTTCCTCCTGAGCATTTACAGATCCTAGAGGCGATCAAAGAAGTGGAAGGTTCGGATGATTACCCACGCTCTCGATATGGCTCTTGTGAATTCATGGATGGAGTATAGAGCACAGGCAAAGCTATTGGGAGTGCAAGAAAAGAAAAGAATGGACTTATGTGATTTTCGTGAGAGAATCGCGCAGCATCTCATTCTATACAAAGAAACACCCAAGCGAGGAAGACTTTCGGATGAGCCCCAGCCAAACTTCAAAAAAATAGAAACAGAACAAAACGAAAGTTATGGCTATCACTCGACAACATGTTAGCTTTGTGATTAGAGTTGTCGGAAGAGACGTGGATCAGGTGTCGCGTTTTGTTTATCTGGTTGCCACCCTTAACCAAAAATAGGATTGCGATGAAGAAGTTAAAATACGAATTGAACAGGCTAAAACCACATTTATTGAAAAATTTTATGCTTGCCCGTACCCTCCCAATGGAACTACGTCTTCTGTTTATCAAATGCTACGTGTGGCCCATCCTCCTATATTGAGCAGAGACATGGTCAATTAAAGTAAGGACCTTGAACCGTATAGAGGCGTTTTAAATATGGACCCTTTGCAGGCTTCTTTGCATTCCATGGACTGCCCGCAAAACCAACAAAGAGGTGTTGAGAATAGCTGGAGTTCAAAGACAACTGCTTGGAGTCGTTAAGGCACGAAACATATCCTATCTTGGTCATATTATCGGAAGTGCGAGATATTCCATTCTAAAGTTGATCTTGCAAGGGAAGATAGAAGGTAAACGAGGCCCGGAAAGAAAGCAAGACTCGTGGCTTCGGAACATAAGGGACTGGTGCGGAATAAGAGATGCCGCCAGAGTATTCCGCCAAGCAGAGGATGGCACCCTCCAAATGGCACAAGTATACGACTAAGGATCGCCTACGTACGCGTTTGCACAGGGCACAAGAAGAAGAAGAAGAATCCTCTTTGGTTTTTGAGAATTTTTTAGTTTCATCTCTTCTAGCCGATGTTAGATCGTCATATAGATATTTCACTTCTTCGGTCGAGGCAAAGATGGGCGCGTACACTTGGATGACCTGGATGCGACACGTATTGTTACTTGTTGGGTTCAAGTATCTAAAAGTAAAAATTTGGCCTCGACTTTGGCGTGCTTTCTGTTGCTATGGGTTATAGTAGGGCTAATATGCTAATTATCGATCTCATCAGAGTTGTTTTAAAACAGAAAGTGTACAGACTAGGATAATAAATTCAGCCTTGTCTTACTGATCCCGATTTTGTCCTATCTGATATTTCGCGGTTCATGAAACGAGTCTAATACTCTTATCAAGTTTCAGTATCTGTCCTATGTAAATAGATGTATTCGCTGACTTATTAAAAGGGGAGATTTCTTATTTTTTTTCCCATAACTAGTCATCAGAACAAAGTACTGGAAATGAGTATGATGTCGGCGGAACAAAAATGATTTAATAGTTTGCCGTTCAAATTTGTGCTATATTTAGACCAGTTTAGTTTCCTAAATATTCTCCATTTCCAGCGTAAAAATATTTGGCGTCTGTCTGTAAACTTGGAAGATCCCGAAAATGTATTAGAAATTATACCAGTAGGCTTCTAGCTTCAAAAAGAAAACTGGTTCGAGAAGTTAAGGAGTTCAAGGTGGACGGCGAATCAAACAAATTAATTAAATTTTAAATCAGTTCCATATTTAAAAAAGGTTAGGTGCTTAAAGGGGGTGTGACCCTAAAAAACGACTTAAGCTAATTAAATCAAGAAACAAATTCTAAGATATCTAGTGAAAACCGTAGTCCTGTATTCAAAATACTCTCCGAGAAAATTCCTTGTGAAGATCAATTATACAGGAAATTGTGATGTCACAACCGCCGAAATCGCAGTCTTCTAGTCGTTCAGTCATCAGTGAACCGTACCATATACTTTGAGTGGTTGCAATTCGCTCTAGGAGATAATTATCTTTTGTTTTGGAGAATTCTCACACGTGTTAATACTTTCCCTGAAAATCCAGTGTGACGTCACAAACGCCTAGTTGTAAATTTAAACCGCCCTAACTCGAAAACGGACCATCGTAGCAAGATACGGTTTGAATAATTATTCTTAGATTTTTTTGCGCTAAAACTTTCATTTTTGGGTCACACCCCCTTTAAGAATATAATTCATTTCCAGCATAGAAAGATTTGATTATATCACATCTCCTTGCCTCTCATCTCCATTTTTGTATTTTGTATTAGAAGTCTTCCCTGCGGACTAATTTAGCGCACTAGAGCCGCCTTTAATAATAATTTTCATTCCTCTATCATCTTCGTCTATGGCTGTTGATAAATAGCTCTTCAAGAGAAACCTTTAGACCTCCGTCTTGCTACTCGATATCGATGCAAAAATTTGGTTGAGGTTTAGAGATATGCGCTTATTGATTTTCAGGATGATTTATTTATGCAACTCTATTAGAAAAATTGTGGAAATGTCTTGTTTCTTATCATAAACCATATGCTTCCATATCTCCGTTTTCCAGGAGTTTATAGTATAATCGGTTCCCTCCCCGATCAATGCAGTTATTCGATCTAATTTTCTCAGGTTCTTCAGCAAGTTCTATAACTTTTCCATCATTGCTCATGGATCTGATATTATAGTTGCTATGTGAAATTTGCTGCTGTTAGGCTTTCCAATTAATCCATTTACTGCATGTCCATCGGTAACTCCTCAAGATTCTTCTAAGGTGACTAGATAATTTATTTGAGAATCTTCACATATATTTCTTTTCAGCTGAGGTTCTAATTGTCGGTGCTATGCTCTATCTACAGATCTTTTTTTTTTTTTTTCATTTTTGTTTGTTGTTAGAGGAAGTCACGTGGTTCTCGGCTAATTGCCAAACTTCTCAATCCTCCAATTGACCCACATATTTATGGCATCGGTCCTAACTCAAATAAACTCCTTATTACTATGTAGGTTTCGTCCATGTGTGTTGAAACTTTGGTGTATGCGATGCCCGCATAAGCAGTGTTGAAAGAAATGAAGTTTTTGACGATTACAACAACCGAAAAGCGTGGAAATTAAATGAAGAAAAAGTTAGAGAAAATTGTAGGGTCATGGTGGCTTAATTGGTTACAGCATAGCACCGGTAATGCTGAAGACGCGGATTCGAATCCCGCCCACGGCCAAAATTTTTAATCCTTCAATTTTCCTTAACTTTCTCTTCATTCAACTTCCACGCTTTTCGGTTGTAACCGACAAAAACTTCATTTCTATCAACACTGTTTATGCGGGCATCGCATACACCAAAGTTTCAACACACATGGACGAAACCTACATAGTAATAAAGAGCTTATTCGAGTTAGGATCGATGTTATAAATGTGTGGGTTAATTGGAGCATTGAGAAGTTTGGCAATGAGCGGAGAAGCACACGACTTCCTCTAACAACACCAAACAAAAATCAAAAAAAAGATCTGTAGGGTCATGGTAGCTTATGCCCGTTTTCACCAACCATTTTAAGGAAGCCTTAACGATAAGAATTCCTTAAACTGACATTTTCCCATGTAAAAATGTCATTTCAAGGAATACTTTTCGTTAAGGCTTTCCTAAAATAGTTGGTTAGAGTGTAGCACCGACAATGCTGAAGACGCGGGTTCGAATCCCGCCTACGCCCAAAATTTTTATTCCTCCAATTTTCCTTAACTTTCTCTTCATTCAATAAAATGTATTTGTATATATCTTTTAAAATATCTTGAAACAAGTCGCTGACATTTATACTATTTTGCTTTAGTGGGAGAACAACTAACGTAATAAAAACACATTTTAGGGGTGTGTTGGTAACTGTAAATAACCAAGGTGATTTGAAAACTTGAGAAGATCTTATCACAATAAACTTTCTGGTTTAACCTATAATCAACAAACCAAAAATACATATTTCATTTCAAGCGAAAAGGTTAGCAAATTAAGGAAAAACTCTGTGCGTGACTATTCTCACATTTCGTGATAATCTAGTTAACATTTCAAACCCTGATTGCGTTAGGTTACAAAATACGGCAGACAGCAATGAACTTCACAATTTCAAGGACTTTTATTGTCTTCAAAGTAAAAGTATTATATGTAAAAGGAATTACTTACCATGTGAAATGCCCAATGACGTGCAGGTATCATCAACATCCTTCCTCATCTGCTCGATAGCCAAATTTAATACTGGTTCAATGTTCTCACTGGATATTTGATCCTCGCAACCCATCATCAAATCATTGGTTTCATTACCTTCTGGTTCTTCCATCTTAATATCTTCATTAACAAATGTAAAATCAATTGGATGTATATTAAACTTCTTTTGGAAACTTGTATCTCTCAAGAATTGCCTCAACAGCTGATGGTCTTTGGGAGCTTCCGGTACAGTTTGCGGAAGTGGTTCCACATGTTTATGATTCAAAAGACCCCTTAAAGTTTCTGTACATTGAATATCGTTCAAAATTTGAGTAAAATCCACTGTGCTTTCTTGCTTAATTTGTTTTTGCGGTTCAAATAGCCCTATAACATCCTTTTGTTGTGGCAGCCGTTCTGGAGACGATATATTTGAATAATTTGATGTTGCTGGAGATACAGGAGACGAAGTATTGAAACTTGATAAATAATTTTCTTCTTTTATTCCAAATGGAGACAAATTCGGTAAAGGTGATGTGGAATTTCTGATGTCTTCTTTTTTTATAAGGCCGCTTTGAAAATAGTCTTCATGAGGGGATTTGGAGTATATAGAAGAAGGACTGGCTGTATACAAGGAGTATTCTGGAGAACTGGGATAAAAGGTTTGGTCTCTGTAAGTAGAAAATTGATCATTTGGCGACAAAAGGCCTTGTGAATTTGATGAATACGGAGACAAAGAGCCAGAATTTGAATGGTGACTTGATGAATTAGCCTGAGGAACTTCCAAATGAATTGGAGACTGAGGAGATAGATACTTCTTATCATCGCCTAACAATTTTTGAAAATCTGGCTGGAAATCTGGTGAAAACTCGGTGTCCGTCAATGATTGGCTCTCAGGTGAACTGGGATAATAGGTGGTGAAAATTTTAGGTTGCACTTGCTGGAGTTTGTTTACATTTATTGGATAAAACTGGGTGGATATGGAAAATGCTTGATCCCCACCTGGCAGTAGAGACAAGTCAAAATTTTCTGCAAAATTGCTGTAGTCACATGGAGGGGTGAATCCTGCGGATGGAACCGTCTGTGGCATCTGGAAAAAAAATATATATATTAATTTAGTTTTCAATAATTACTGTAATTACGAAAGGAAAGCGTTAACCATCAATTTAGCAAAATCTGTGTTTATAACCTGATAATTTGATAGCAAATAATTTGGATTAACATAAATTAACATTTAAATCTGAAGACTTAATAACACACCAAACATAAGATAGTGCGGTACATCAAATTTTAATTAGGGCTATAAAGTAACGGTAGCGTGAACAAAAAAAAAAATATAGCCATATACAGCAATAACTTAATAACTTAGGTTGGTTAAAGCTATTTTATTTAATATGAGATTGGACTCCATTTGTGCTAATAATGTCAATGTTAACATTTTTAACAAAAACAAAAATTGGTGGGAATTAAGTTCTGTCAGTTGATTTTATCGCGGATTTGTGCCAGTACCAATGTATAGGATTAGGAATTTAGAAATAAGGTTTACAATCACACCAATACCTAACTTACAACTGATTAGTCAAATTATCTAAACAACATATAATTATTTTCACATTAATTCACTAAAAAACCCATTCAAAAATTTGGAAATTTATCAATTAAGTAGTTTGTGCATATCAAAGACGATTTAAGGGGTTTTTCATTTTCAGTTTCCACATGTGAATGGCTTAATTGATTTCAAGCTAATTAACCTCAGGAATGATTTGCGTAAAACTTGTTTAATTATTAAATTATGGCATTAACAGTTATATTTCTTATATACTTATACAGGTATACTCGAAAAGTGGGATAAAAACATCATTATCGCATTCATGAGAAGGTTGCGCGTTTCGAGGCATGTAATCACATAAGTGCGGTAATAGTTATTATAGTATTCCACTTACGCAGGTATATAAAATATCTAGCATAAAAGCCTCAAGAAGTTGACAAAAAAATTAATAAATATAGATTATAACATAATTACCTATTTGATAAGTTTATTACAGTATAGCTAATGCGGTTATTATTCATTCGAAACCTTGTCAAATCATGAAATTATTTGTAGATAATAGTTATTTATACACCGAGTGAGTTAAATGAATGATTATTAATCAGAAGAAAGTTTAACCAACGAGCCCTAGCGAGTGGGTTAATTTTCTTCGAATGAATAAACATCTTAACTCACGTGATGTATTCAAAATTTTATGCCATTTTGTGGAAACTTAAAAAATAAAGAACAAGGAAAAATGCCGAGAGTGAGTTTAAAATATTCTAAATCACCGAGGTGTCCGAGTTTTAATTGGGTAGAGTGACTTAAAATGCCGGAAGTGAGTTAAAAAATCTTTAAATCACTGATGGCCGTTTGCACCGACCATTTTAAGAAAGTCTTAGCGATAAGTATTTCTTAAAGTGACATTTCTCCATGTAAAAATGTCATTTTAAGGAATACCTATCGCTAAGGCTGAAGACACAATGACAAGTGTTATTAGATTTTTGTCTCTTGTCACTTGTACCCTGTATTTCTCATTCTGTCCTCAGTCTTAGGCTTCTTTAAAATGGTCGGTGCAAATGGCCATGAGGTGATAAACGTCTACTTACCTTTATTGTTATGCGTTCAATAATGTAATTTTTAAACATCAAAATGAGATAAAAACAATAATTGCGTCACAAGTAAATATCCGATATTTGAAAACAATATGACGCATATATTCCTGGACCATATGTTCACGATTCCCTATCCAGACGATATTATTTATTTTACTTTAAACTTATTGCGTACACATATTGGATCTATATTTAAATAAGATGAATGTAATAGTTAAAGCGGCGATTCTAATAGCCGACGTGTAGTTGCAAGATTTTTGGATAATAATTAGGCACATAAATGAGAAAAATTGTTGTCTTTGATCCATTGTTATAATAAGTGTTCACGTTGGAATGTATATAAAATGTTAACCCACCATTTGCTAAGCTCATCTTCACCAGAAAAAAACACAAACACTACATCACCAACGTTGTTGTTCTTTCAGAATACAAACGTAATAATCCTTACGCACAACGTGATTTTGCAGATTGCCTACGAAAAAATTAAGGAACGCCACCTTGTCCTTGTCTAATGTCAAGGTTTTCCCATAACTCCCTCTCTTTTAACTGCGGTGCTCAGGTATTTTAGTTCACCTTGATGTCGGATGAAAAAAAATTTGAAACGATTTCTACCAGGGAGTGTATCTCTTATTTAATGTTATTAGTTGGTGCTTTGATAGATGACAATATTATTTTGATCTTAAAATATGATCACAATTCAATCAGAAATTGGTTTTATGGAGATACATACATATGATAATATTGATAATATCATTTATAAAAGTCGAACAGAAATTAGTGTTAAAAGTATCATTTGAATGTGTAGTGGCGGTTTTCGACCAAACCAACTTAAAAATTGACTTGCTGTTCCCAAAAACATACACTCCAAAGAATGAAATTAATGTTTAGACCAAAGAGATATGAATATGTTGTATGCTTCGATAAATGGAAACATAAATTAGAATAAAAACTTCAAATATCAGAAATTTTCTGAATTTGTCACCCACAATAAATAAACTGTTGGAAAACGACCATTGTTTTCCCAGTCAGAACAAAAATCATAAATCCATAACGATTTCCAGAAAAGACAATTTCGTTCGTGACTTTTACGAAATGGCGATTTCTAAATCTGTCCAAGCAAGTTTACAAAATCCGCGTCACATTTTTTGTTTTAAGGAACTGGTGTCTCATGCCAGGGCTTCATGGTAAAATAAACTTTACGATGGGAAAAAATTAAATTTAATTGATTTTGACGTCAGTAGAGTGGGTAAATATTGAAATTTCCTGTGCGATTCTAAAGCTGGACTTTATTTTGAAAAACGTTTGAAATAGTTCTAATATATAATTATATCTGTCAAATTGTTCGATTTGATGGAATAATCAATTTCCATTCGTCTATAGACTTTATAAAAGAGGTAATTTCTTGAGAACGATAGAGTATTTTTTCCCTGATCGGCCTGATTGCGAAATGAAGCAAATTTTGGTCAGAGGTCAATTTTCTTGCTGGCTGAACTCGAGTAATGAAGACGCAGGGATAATTACGAGGGGAAAGTCTCTAAAGAGGCTGATACTCCCATCAAAAACAGTACATAACAGATGCTGTGGATATCATGGTAAGTACGAGAAATTTCAATCAGCCAACCCCGCTGTTCACAACAGGATCGTGAATATTCAGGACTTCCATTGTATGATTTAAATAAACAAGCTTTAACGTGATTCAAGAAAATTCTCGATTGAATATTTTTGTATGTAAAGTGCGTAGTCGTCAGTGAGTCAGTTTAAATAAGAGAATTGCTGTATAACGTTAAGTAAAAATAATCAATAATTAGAAAAAATTGGACGATTTTCAAATCATACATCGATCTGGTAAAATGCATAAACCATAACAACGCAGATACCTTATCCAGGCAACTATGTCTTGTTCAATACAAACCCTGCCTCAGAATTCATCAGCGCGTTCCTGTTAGAAGCCTTCGAACGAAAAACTCACATCAAATAATTTTTACTTGGACAAAGTCTGTGTGAGTTGGATTTTCCAAACGTCTTGACACCACACTGACTGTGTATGAAATGTCTGGCCTTGATCCTGTCATCAGGTGTAGTAATGCTCCAACAGCCTCTTTATATGAAAAATTTGATATTTCGGCTTCTTCTGAAGGAGAATTATCCTTAACAATTGGAATTTGGACGAGTCTGCAATTGTTCATAGGTACCAAATTTTTTCAACAATTTCTTGGCATATGCATTTTGATTTATGATAACTGATCCATTCTTTAACTTCATGATTTCCATACCAAAAAATATGATGCTGGCTTTATCGTAACTTTAAACTCTATCTGTAGTTGTCGTAGAAAATATTTTTTCATTTCCTCATTGCTTGAGGCTAGTAGACCATCGTCCACATATAAAACTAAAATAAGAAATTCTGTTCCTTTCCTCATGATAAAGAAATATGGATCGGCATCGCTCTGTTTGAAACCAAAGGATATAATGAAATCCGTTATTCTTCGATTCTAACACCTAGGAGCTTGCTTAAGTACATATAGGCTCTTCCTTAGATGACAAACCCTATCTGTACCATCATTGAGACCCTCTTGCTGTTTCATGTATACTTCATCTTGAAGCTAACCATATAGAAATGCTGTACATACATCAAACTGGCTTAGACTTAAATTTTCCACTGGCAGATAGACTCAAAACAGATCATATTGTAGCAAATCTAGTAACTGGGCTAAATGTCTCATCATAATCTTGATATTTCTTCTGTGAATAATCTTTTGCTACTAGTCTGGCTTCGAATTTATGTATAGAGCCATCTGGATTGTATTTTAACTTGTACGCCCATTTATTTGGTATACCTTCTTACAATTGGGTAGTTTTCCTAAAGTCCAAACACAGTTCTCCTCTAAAGACTTCATTTCTCTTCCCATAGCCATTTTCCAGTCATTTGCTCTATTACTTAACATAGCTTCTCGGTACGCAATTGGCTCATTTATTTCCATAATGTCTGCAGCAACCATCATAGCAAAGTCTTCAAACCTGGCAGGCTTTTGTATCGTATCTGATCACTATCTCTCAGTTGCCTACTGGGTACAACTGGTACTTCTTCTGAAATGTTAGTATCTGGTGATTCTACTAAGAAGTCAGAACGAGTGTCAGAAAAACTGTGATTCTCCAAACTATCATCTTATCCGCCGTCTTGTCCATTGGTTTCTTTAGTTTCTTATTCTAGAGTACCTTCCCTGCTTGTGACAATGTTACAATTGTTTTGCTGAGAAGTTCCAACAGGGTCATCCAACAATGGCAACGTTGAAGTCACGAGTTTTTCGTCGAATATCACATCTCTCAATGTGAATAGTTTCTCAGATTCTTCACACCAAATCCGATATCCATCATCTTGGTCATATCCTATTAGAATGCCTTTTTATCAATTTTCTTTGGTACATGGGCATAACAGGATGTTCCAAT